TTCTCCGTTCGTCTGAAAGGCGCTCATCCTCGTTTATGAAGTTAATGCGTGAGGAAAAGTAAGGACAATTTGTTAATTGTTGTTATACAGATTATGAAATTTTATGATATACTGTACTAATATTATTTTATATGCAGATCATATGGTGGGAAAAACAGTATAGCAGTTCTAAATACAGTCTATATGGAGATACTGGATTCTAGGTCTCCCTTGTCAGTAATGGTACACTTATATGCATTTCTATTTAACAATTTCAATTATACCGACAGGGTGGAGTACATGTAACTCTGAATTTTAATTTTCGGAAGGTCATGGAAGTGTTGGTAAGTTTTGTGCAGCTTAGACGAGACAGTGTGGGAAGTGTAGAATGGGATTTCCTTCCGCCTACTTTCATTGCAGCACTGAGAACCAAATATGAAACCTTTGCTCTGACTGCGGACAAGGGTGCGCACATATTCTCCCGTTGGTCCATGCTACACTTGGAAATCGTCCAAGATGGTGCACCTAAGAATCTGTCCTTTGCTTCCCATTCCAAATTGATGGATCACATTAGGTAGGCATTGTCGTTGACCTGATGATACAAGAGTTTTGACTCTCTTATGTCAATCACCCATTGTACTAATCAGTTGTAGTATGGGTTTTAATATCAATCCAATTGGGAACAGTTGAAAACAGAAGAGCTAAGAGTGAAATCTCTAAGTCAAGCAAGCAGAGAAAAGGTTTTTGTTGCCTAAGCAACAGTTCTAACAACCTAAGGTGATCAATCAACAAAGAAAGTGAAAACAAAAGCAAACTAAGCAGTTTTAAGCAAGAAAAACAGAGCAAAACATAGCAAATCCGAGATTCAAATAAGAGAAAGGCAAGTTCCTAGATGTGGTTATTGACTTTGGGGAATTTCAGACACTAACTAAGGCTGTTTCAAACTACATTGATCAAGCAAGTAAGCAAGCCATGGTGATTCCTAGATATAGAGTTCACAATCAAGCAAGCTAGATCCAATCTCTTGGCAAATAGCCCTTTGCTAAACATCTTAACAAGAACTAACTCTCATTAGTGCTAAAACATCAAGCAAGCATTAGTAAACAACTCTATTCAAGTCAAAATGCTCCTCAAACAGTCAATCTCTTGAGCCAAGGCCAACAAATCCTCTATTAAACAAGATCAGCATTTCATCAGACACTTGGTGGGCATAAGAGAAAGCTAACAACTTAGACAAGCTTGATCAAGACTAATCTAGCATGAATAACAGATTAATAGAGAGGAACCCATAAACTGAAGCACTTAACAAGCCCTAATCAAGTCTTAAATTCCCCTAATCTACCACATCTAGAAACTCTAAGATAACTACTCACTCATACTCAAGTTTAAAACCAAATCACAAAGGAAAAGGATGTTAATCATGATTAAGAGAGAGAATAAAGAAAGATTAAAGCAAATACTCAAATATATTAAACAAAGCAAAAGATTTATCTTACAAACTTAAAGAAAATGCTTAAGAACAATATTTTGACAAGACATGTCGAAAATCTGGAAAAAGAGGTTATTTATAGCCTAGAGAAGAAAGCCCTAAAGTAATGGCAAAAGTGTAATTAAAAACAGGTTTGGGCTGGGTCAGTATCGGTCAGTTACGTCGGTCTTCAGTGACCGATACAGATCCCCATCGGTCTGGAGTGATCGACACATATGACCGAAATCCATCTGTTGTGTTTGTGTCGGTCACCCTTGACCGATACTGGTGATCGATACTGCTCTGTATCGGTCATCCTTGACCGATATTCACCGTGCTCTGACCGAAAACTTCTGCAGAGATTCTCTGCTTCGATCCTTTTTGCTCTCTTTTGCCCATCTAGCTTCCTGGATCGTCCCTAAAACTCCTCCAAGCTCCTTTTAGCTCCAAAAGCACCTAAAAACATCCAAAATGCAAGAAAAATGCAAACTATACTCTAAATGCAACCTAAGTCTAAAAGGAAAAGAAAATGGGACAAAAGCTAAGGGTAAACATGCAAAAGAGGACCAAAATATGTACTAAATGCAGCCCTAAATGGTGTAAATACAAGGGATATCACCTGAACATGTGGACATTAAATGTTTTGGATTGCAACACCACATGTGTTGCAGACTCTGAATTGGAGGTAAGACTGCAGCCACTTACAGAAATGTTATCCCATTTTATTCAGATGCATGGGGGTACTGATGTGGCCAGAATAGTCCCAACTGCCCTCTTGACTGTGAGGAGAATGGATTTGGATATATTGTGTGAGTTGACAGGTATGGTTTATAACTAGACTATATATCGATAATTCTATGTTGTGAATCACCATTTCTCATTTGTTTTTCTATCATGTAGGTTTGAGTGGGGTGGCTTCAATATCGCTTTAGGAACTGTACGCGACTGGACAACTACCGGAGTGTTCAAAAATCTCTGAGGCTAGTGTCCGGACTGCAGCGTCTAACTACGCCATGTCATCATTTGCTTACTTCAACCCGTCTTTGTTGTCTGAGTGATGTCTTTATGTCTTTTGTTTGTACACTGCTATGCTTTGTATCGTACTTTAGTGTTTTCGAATGTTCGATGTTCAGTTTCCGTTCCAGTACGACGAAAATGTTATGTCAACATTTGCTTACTTCAACCCATCTTTGTTGTTTGAGTAATGTCTTTATGTCTTTCATTTGTACACTGCTATGCTTTGTATCGTACTTTAGTGTTTTCGAATGTTCGATGTTCAATTTCCATTCCAGTACAACGAAAATGTTATGTTACCTTTGCAAATACTATTTGACCTAATTAGTATTTGGTTTTATGTATATAGTCTTCTGTCTATATAGCCAATTCTTAATTATACTATATAGTATTGTGTATGTGTGTACTCTGTTGAGGATATATGTGGTTTGTAAAAGTGTGTAGTTAAGGGGGAGGGATAAAGTCTAAGAGGGTTAAGGTACAATTAAAAGGGGGTTTAGATTCCGGGGGGTTTAGATATAGTAAGTAGTGGCTTAGGTATAATTTTAAAATATACGATTTTATTTAATATTTACGATGGGTAAAATATAAAAGGTCTAGGGTATAGTTAAGAGGTTTGGGTATAATTTGTACTGCTTTGGGTTTAGTTTACAATTATTTACAATAGTTATTATGGGTTCAGCTGTACATCTGGGGAATATGGTTTAGTAGTTGGGTTTGGTTGTAGTGGCTTGTGTTTGTATATTTAAATTAGTCATGGATTTTGAGTAATACATGTGTTTTATGTACACTGTTATTTGTTTACTAACTCATTCCGTACTATACTATTATTCATATACAGTATTTAGCTAAACGGCCTGGTCAAGTAAGTTAATGGTAAAAAGAAATCAAAATTAGTGACTTAAAATATAATGAGGGCATTGTATTTAAATTCTACAAATGGAAGGTTTTCTGGGCTGTACTATGTACATGGCCATCTGATACTAAATACATTGATATACTACATTTATGCTATATAGTATTCTGTATGGGTGTACTCTGTTGAGGATATATGTGGTTTGTAAAAGCGTATAGTTAAGGAAGGGGAGGGGGGGTTAGGAGACTACTTGGGTACATGCTTCTAGTGGCTTGAGTTTAGTTTACAATTATTTACAATAGTTATTATGGGTTGAGGTGTACATCTGGAGGAATATGGTTTACTAGTTGGGGTTTGGGTATAGGGTTGTAGTGGCTTATGTTTATATATTTAAGTTGATCATGGATTTTCAATTAGCTAATACTTGGGTTTTATGAACTATGTTATTTGTTTACTAACTGATTCAATACTATACTATCATTCATATACAGTATTTGCTAAACAAACTGGTCAAGTAAGCTAATTGTAAAAGAAAATCAAAATCAATGACTTTAAACATAATGAAGGCGTTGCATTAATATTCTACAAAAGTGAAGGTTTTCTGGGCTGTACTATGTACATGGCCATCTGGTGTGTATTTACAAAGTAAAGAAGTGATACTAAATACATTGGTATACTTCAATTTCTGCATATACCATTCTATTTAGTCCACGGTACAAAAACAATAGACATAGCTAATGGTATTTCCTTTCTACACCCCTTCCATAATTTCTTATTAGCCCGATCCTCCAAAAAACTGCTCCTATGACCACCTTCATACGCCCACTCTTAAAAAGCATTTTATATAGGGTTGCGACAAGATGCCTTGTTGTGCCCTTGCCGGCGACAACGAGTACATCTTCTGGGTCCTTTCGTCCCTTTCTGGCAAGAATAAACATGTAAATATTATATACTATTTTATGATCTGATAAAGTATAGTTGAGAAAACATACCTTTAATTCACCCTGTGATATAATGTGGACCTTCTTAGGCCTTTCTGGGGGGGGGGGGGGGGCGGCGCACAGCTGGTGGTTGTAGGTCACCAGCAAATACTCCTCCGAGGGCATTAGTTCCCACAAACGGTATAGGATAAATCTTCCTCTCCAATCCACGTTTCCATGTTTCCACATAGTATGCAGCAGCAACCAAGTCGTCTGTGTGCATGTCTATACTATTTGCTCCTACTAGAGCATGTGAGCAAGGGATTCCAACTGTTTGGAACTCCATGCAAGAACATGTGCTCTGCAATAGATTGACCGAGTAACATTCGCCAAGTGGTGCCTGTACTTAGGACTCATACCCACTTAGAGCTTTCACAGCCAAACTTGAAGATTTTTCAAAGTTTTTCTCTATTCTTTTTCTGGCGTGAGGAGTAATTATCCCCTTGTACCTTGATGCCTTTGCACGTCTCATTGCAAGCTAAGACATTACAGAAGTTCTTATGTACTCGAGCATGCAGATTAGAGAATATTCTCTAGCCTCTTTAAAGACCGCATTCTAGGACTCCGCGATGTTACTATACATTATGTTGTACCACTGGCCTTTGAAATGAGCTCTGGTCCAATGGTCGAATCCTGTACGAGAGCAGATAATTAGTGTAGCATAGAAATTGTAGACACCAAAGTTTCGCAAACATGTTTTTCAAAACTTGATTTTGTATTTACACTCACTAATGTCAACAAGATAAGATGCACATCTAGGATTCAATCCTTGAATTTCAATAAATTTCTTATTGAACTCATTCATTGTGCATGCACGAGCAGCATCTTTCACGATATTTGCCAGCCGCTTGGGTTGGTAAGAAGCACGAACATTACGAAATAGATGCACCGCACACGCGGCATGATGAGCGAGAGGGTAAACCTGCATAACCAATTTCCACTTACCTAAGTGCTGTATAATATATATCAAAGTATAATATATAACATAGTATCCTTAATGTTCTAGAATATATCGCACGGTACTGAATCGCATGGTACTTACAGTTTCTAATCCGGCAAATATGCTTGCATGTCTGTCAGATACGAAGACAAGGTCGATAGAATCAGCTATGAAAGTACTTAACTTCCTGAAAAACCACTCTCACGCATCATCGTTTTCATTATCAACTACCCCATATGCCAGTGAGAATATCTGGAAGTTTGCATCCTGCGCTGATGCAGATACAAGGCATCCAACATAGCATCCCTTCAGGCTGGTCCCGTCGATAACAATGACTTTCCGCATGTAAGGCCATCCTTGGACGGAAGCCCTGAATGTAGTGAAAGAGTACTTGAACTTCGACCCTCCTTGTGGGTTTTCCTGTATTTCAAGATAGCAAATACTACCTAGATTGGAAGCTTTGAGTAAAACGAGATACGTCGGCATTAGTGCATAACTCCCAGCCATATAATCGTACAGATTCTCCATTGCGAGCTCCCTGGACCGCCACACTTTCCAGTAGGAGATATTGACATGAAAATCATCGAGCATAATCTTTCGAACACCAGCTGGGGAAGGTCCTCTTTTTGCTCCGACGAACTGTCTTTGTATTATTTCTCCTATCACTTGCATAATCACCAGTTTGTGGTAGTTGCGCCTTGCGTCGATGGTACAAATGTGGGTTAGTACTGCCGACCTTATCTGGAAATTGCCAGAGTTATCCAACTTCACTGCATATACTCTCCAGGGGCAACTCTGATCGATACATCTCATCACCATGAACGCAGGTGTTGATCTTGTGGTGGGGAAGTGAAATTTTCTGTTAATAGCTCGAATAGCTATTTTGATTTTGCAATCGACCTTACTTTTGAAGACTCTTCTGACAAATAAGTTGTCACCTTCGTAGTCGACATCAGCCATAGCGTTATTATCCCTTACATTGGCATACATATTCATATGAGATTGCAGAAGACCTTACCATACTACGTCTTCCATATAATATAGTTTCAGATATATATAGTATATACAGAACTAGTTACATGTTTAGTAAATTTCCAACGATGGAGTGAGTTAGGATAAATTACCATCAGTCTCACCCATATCAAAGACAGGAGGTGCGTCTCTAGCGAACAACACCGGATCGTTACCGTTGTCTATCAGCATTGCGTGTAGGGACTCCTCAAACTTCCCATAGGTGGTTAATGTCGACGTCCCTTCACCATCAACATTCTCCTCTATTTCGTCCTCCCCTGAGTAAGAGTCTGACTCCTCTTCTCCATCCGAGTCGTGGAATAGCCTCCTCCTAATGGGCACTAGAGACCTTTTCTCTGTTGGTATCATTTGTGTGTTTATAGCTTCGTCGCTGTCGGAAGCGGTATCCTTTGGCGAAGCAGGGGCCTTACCTTTCTTCGAAACGGAAGTTGTAAGATGGCTTATAGGTCGAGTTGATCGATCACCCTCTCTGATATTGATACCAGTTCCTTTTCGTAGTATAGTATTCTGGGGCCTTTTATCATTGGCTTTAACTGCAGGCGTCCAGATGATCGGGAGTGTCATAGGTGTTTCGGACATGGCAAATTCATGCCAGTGCTCGTCATGCTCTGAATCGCCTTCTCCAGCAACTCGTTCCACTGCAGTACCAGTTGTAATTTGAGGGTGTGTTTCTCCTATTTCCATTTGCACTCTGTGAACTAATCGGCTTGATGTAACGCATAGATTCACTTCCTCAATAGTTCGCCTCATTTCAACAAAGACAGCTACTTCTTGATCATCGGTTATGTATTGCGGATCACACGCATCCCCCTCATCAATCTCCAACCAACTATGGTACTATTAAGAGAGTTTGACAGAGATGTTCGATGCCGTCAAGTTTAGCTTCTCTTTCACTTCGTTCACCAGCTCCGAATGACTCATCCTGGTATTTAACTGTATGAAAGTCATTCCAATCGATGGTAATGATTCAAATACCCATTTCACATGAGAATCTCGGATCCATTCCCAGCTACAACATCGACTGTGTCCTGATCTTCCATCTGATAAAAAAGTCTCACTCAAATTAGTATCTACTATAGTATAGATGGAGTTTGGTACGGTAATATATAGTCTACTTATCTTCTCGAAAACACTTAGATATTTTTCTATTCGAATACATTCATAGTACCATCACATAAAAGCACCGACATTGATTTAATAAACGAACTTACCACTCTATTTGTCGACTATGTATTTACTCTGCAACTACCTTGTTTTGATGATTCTACTAGACAAATACAGTATACACAGGTTATTTATAAAGAATCAGCTTTTATTATTCAGGTGAATGATTGTGAGCCACATAATTTAGGGTTAAGCTGTCATCAATCGGAAGTTAATAATATCACATGGTTAAATTAGTGAAATGTGAGGGCTTTGGTGTAAAGGCTACGCTCTATAAACCTTATGTCAAGTCGGAAGGCGCGAGTTTCCCGCTCAATGAAGTGAATGTCATTTTCATCATTGTATTGTATTCGATAGTTACTTTCTAAGTTTCGCATTTTATATAGCTATATTCTTTATTATGACCCATATATGAATATCCACCAAAATCACTATTTTTAAATTGAATCACAATTTTACCTAAAAACAATAAATCATTGTAATAAACAACTCTGAAATCCTGAATCCTTACGAAAACCCAAAACAGAATCAGAGTGGGGTTGATTGCAGTTGTTGTTATTGATCATGTTTAATTGTATAGTTGACAACAGTTGTAGATAAATGCAATTGTGATCTTAAATTTGATGGGCTCCATATAGTAGATTCGTTATGAGCTTTTTAACTTTCTAATAGACTTGAATACTTGTCAGTTTTTTATGGTTCAGAAACAATAACAATAGAGGAAATTAGGGAAAATACCTCAACAAGATTAGAATTTGAAACTACACTTTTTTAGTTAAATTTAATTATATGTGAAATTATCAAATTAAGAGTTCATAATAGTTTTATTTTCATTTAATGAAAACAAAATAAACATGTTAAAACTGAATGATATCTAATTTGATTTCCTTTTATTTTTAGTTCTATATTTATGTAATTTAAAAAATATTTTTATTATCTTTTATCAAAAAAAAAAAAAATTAAGAACCTATCGTCTTCTGATTATTCAAAAGTTTTTTCATTATTGCAAGATGTGATATTTATTTTTCTGGAATTTTCAAAACTCAACACTATTTCTTGATCAATACTCCAACTTTGTTCATGCTTTCCCATTTTTTTTTTTTGATAACTCAGAGAATCCCAGACCCCTGGAGGAGCACAGACTAATCTCTGAGAAGGTGCAGTCAAATGGGCCGAAAGCAAGAGTTCATATCCATATGACCAAATAGAAATTGTTATTAATTCCACACTTGAGGGGAATCGATCTCTGGCCTAGACCATTTCTCTATTTTTCCCTAACAAAAAGATCACATCTAGTCTTTTGCCAAAATCTAAAACACGATCAAACCAACACACATGAATTAAAAATCACAATGTGATTTATGTGTTAAATTCTAAAACGTAGAAAAAATAAAAGAATTACTACAAGTCTATAAAATAGAAAACGAAATGAAAAAAAATTCTTAGAAAAAACAATAAGTAAAAGGCAAATCCAACATAAGAAATAGACTACTAAAAAAAAGTAAAGTTAAAAGAATACGTTCGTGACCTCAAATCCAAAATTATAATATTAATAATTGTGGATTTTAATTTTTATTCACAATAAAAATATGTAATATTAGTTTTTCAATAAGTGTTGTTTATATCTGGTCAAAATAGAATTTTTATATATCAATAAGTGTAATTTTCCAAAAACAAAAACTAGTGTATTTTTCAAATTTCAAATCTTAATTAAGGTATTTTGCCAATAAACCCTTAAATATAATCGTTTCTTAAGTTTTGGATTATACTAATGTTCTGAGCCGAATCCCGATTTTTTCAAGTTCAAAACTACACTATGTAATATTAGTTTTTTTTTTCCCTTCATCAATCTATCTTATGACTTTCACATTTTGTCTGAGATATTTTCCAATTAAATTAATAATACTTAGTGGTAAAATCGTTTTTATCTCAAAATTTCGTCAATTTGTGAAATTATCAGGGAAAATAACTTCAAGTTAAACAAATACCTTCAATATCGGCAAGATAGTCATTTGCAAAAACATTATTACATCTTACAATTTTCAATTAACACAGTAAACAAAAAGCATGAGAAATAAGAATGAAAACTTAATAATGGTGATGTGTTTGATTTGTATGTCTTTTGAGTCGACCAAACTAGACGAATATTTTCAAATATTCATCCATACAAGTGTACTTCACATCCGGGTAAAGTCTTGAAACTTCTTCATCGTCTCCAACTTCATGATCTGTGAGACAACCTTCATAGAATATGTGATAGAAGTGTCCTAATCCTGCTTGGTGTGGTATGCCTTTATTTTCATCTGCATACGTATAATTAGACATTTTAACGTTCATTTAACAAACTAAAAAATTGACATGCTTTTTCGGTTTTATCAATTTCAATTGTAAGTTTGATTTAGAGAAAATGGGTCATTTCGTATGCCGGGAACATCATGTTTAATCACGTGGTATGAAATTGGAAGGCTCAGATCCAAGAAATGCTATCTAATTACATAATTTGCATAAAAGTAATACTCTTAAACCCAGAAGAAAAAAAAATAACAGGTTTACTATTATGTTAACAACTAAGACTTGACTAAAAAACATCACTAGATCCACTTATTTTTCTGTATCGTACTCATATATATTTATGCAGTAATTTCTATTCCAAAAATTATGTATGCTAACTTTCTAATTTAGATTTAAAGTTAATGAAATTGTTTGCCCCAAGATATGCGTCAAAATTCGTCCAACCTTTACATTGTGTTTTAAACTAAACCTGGAAATACCTTAAATGAATTAATCCAATGCTCTATTTTACGGGAGGCGTAAAAGAAATATAATCCAAAACGTTTGCTTTGTTACTATATATATGAATGATCGAGACTTGCCTTCAATGTCGGCAAGAAAGTCATTTGCAAAAATATTGGTTTTCTCCAATTCTTTTCCGGTTAACTTTTCCCATATCTTAACCAACTCCATTTGTGTGAGAATGTTATCGGCTGGTCTAAGATACACAGTTTTATTTATCGTCCGAGGATCGTTAAGCGTCTTTGCAGTATATTTTGCAATGTCATTTTCATCTGCGAACACCACTGTCATAAAAAAAAATGGGAACAAAAAAGATTCAAAATATTTTCTTAAGAATATAAAGTGGCTAATTCATTGTTATGAATTGTAATGGATCCAAATGAAAAAATAAAATTTGAAAAGAGTCTTCCATTAGAGTTTTACCTTTTACATTTCCGTCTCCATAAATATTGACCTTTTTCTTTGGAGGGATCAAAGTTCCCATTTGAGATAAATTTCCGACAAAGTATGCGGCAAAACAAGCGCCAACGATGTATGTATGGGGGATTCCGGCCATCTCAATTGCATTTCGTACTTCCATTTTTTGATCGAACGTTTCTCTTCCTGGTGGAATCGCATGTCCCATACGTGGCGGATCCATTTCAAATTCTGATGGTAAAAAGCGCTGAAATGTATGAACTTTGTTAATACTTTATAAATAGTTCATTGAAAAATATTTATAAGTTTTAGTATATGTACACAACCCAATATTTATGAGCCATATTGTACATGCACACACACACCGATATGTTACCAAATTTCCTACGTACGTACACAACTAGCTATAAAATTGCTATTCACAGTATGTCCAGAAAAAGGTGCTATCGCCACAAATATATCTCAGAAGATGTCAAAAATGTGGTAAAACTTTGTTTCGTTTTAACATCTGAATTTTTTAATTACTTAAAGAAAACGTTTACATGTATGATATTTGAACAGTAATGTGTATATAAGCTTATTAAAACTATAGTATTCGTATGCAAAAAGCACGACTCCGTATTATAAATTTATATTCCAAAGCTATGAACGGATCTTATATTTTCTTAGTTTTCTAAGAAAATGATTAAAAATTTTTATGTAAGTCAATTCAATTGCGACCGTTAACCAAATGTAGCCGAGATATAAAAGTCATTTTTAAAAGATGCACATGTAATGCAGACAAATGCATACACCTAAATAATATTTTCTTAAACTGTTACTATTAATTTGTCTTGGTATATGTCAGCCTGTCAGGCAGACAAGTGCATTCACCAAAGATAATAGTTTCTTAAACAGATGCCATTAATTTATGTTGATATATTTGTCAAAGTAACAAACCTATATACTTATACGGTATTTTAATATTGCTTTAAAATCTGATTGTAACCGTTCCAAAAGGTAACAACTAACAACTAAGAGACGGATACATAATACTTATTTAAACTCTACTACAATTGAAATATCACTGATAGAGAATATGCAGTAGATGACTAAAAATCTTCGGTTATAATTGGCAAAAATGACTATGAACAATGTTTTATTTACAAAAAACTTTAAACTGGGTGGAAATTTATGTGGTCATTTTCCAAATCTTTATGATATGTTTTTAAGCAACATGCTATTTTTGTTTTTAACAGGCTATTTTTTTAAGTTGGCATGCAATTTATACATGGTACAGGCAATTTTAGAATAATCAACTACAAAAAAACTCTTTTATAGTTACGGTTTTGTCACCCATGTTTTTGCCAGTTTTGAGCCAACTTTAAGTAATCTACATCTAAAGCATATTTCATCAAATTGATATAATGATATATATGTGCGGGTACCTTGATGTTACCGGCCTCTTTGATGGCTTCGACGAGCTTGAGCTGAACGAGGATATTGTGGCTACGAAAATGAACACCGGACATGGCGGAGACAACAACGTCGACTTGTTTCACGGCGGAGACAAGGCTCTGGTGGTCAGTGAACGATGCTTCGACTAGACGTGCGCCGAGTCTTTTGAAAGAGTGAAGGAGCTGCACCTTCTCGAGGTCCACTCCGATCTCTGGCCGCTGCAGAACGTAAGTCTCGTGTCCCTCAGCCAAACACGCCGTTACGATCCTCCTCCCTAACGACCCCGTCCCGCCAACCACCAGAACGCGCGTTTTCAAAGCGCTATTATCCTCTCTCATGTTTCCAAGATTGATATGTGTGCTATTTTCGTGGCGGACCTGATATAATGTGTTCGTCACTGCTCTAATATTTATACACATACGTGTCTACATATATATATATGGGCTGTATATATACATGTATATATAGAAATAAGACTGTGTGTATATATATTGATTAACCAAAAACTTACTTATAGGCACATACAATCAATCTCTTCAGAGTTCAGACTATGATAAATGAACAAGTTAATTTTGTCTTTTTCTCCTTCGCTGGCGCTCAAAAGCTATACATATATGTGTTGTGCAGACTGAGTAATCTTTATATTATAAGCATTTTTGAATTTTAAACAAAAGATATGGATGCTATATCATAATATTCTCTAGCGAAACTAATAAGTAAACATTACAAAGTTTCATTTGTACTTATATCGTTAATTTACTTAGATGATCCCTTTCGTAGCATTTTTTTTTTTTTGGGGTAGCATGATGCCAACAAGATCTCGTATCTTTTTCTTTTTCTTGTTTTCATATTTGTCATCACTCAACAGCAACGTCCATTATTATCACATAAATACAAATCTAATGAATAAAAAACTAGATCTTCTTCTTCCTAACTCAATTTATCTCCTATATATTAAAAGAGAAACATTTTTAAAGAATAACTTTAATTTTGTAAAATATTACAGTGGTGCCATTTTGCTGATGTGTCATCACCAGAACCATTTTCAGCAAAGTTATATAAATAGACTTATGTTACTTGATTAATTACATGTTATGCCACTAACATTAATTTGGTTATACATTAGTTTATATCAATTATATTGATGATGATTCATCAAGATATTCTATTTTCCCATTTCTTACCAAAAATATATCATATTAATTATTTCTTTAAATACTATATTTTATCTCTTATTTTTATAGAAAAATAAATCATCACATCATTCATATAGTAAGATATATATATATATATATATATATATATATATATATATATATATATTTTTTTTTTTTTTCTGTGTTAAAATTCGAATTTCATAAAACAAATATAAATTACTTAAATAATTAATAAATAAAAGTATGTTTTAAAAGACTAAAATTGAAAATAAAGATGTACAGATAGATGATTCATAAATCAATATAAAAATAAACATAAATGATAAAAAATCAGGAAGCTTAATTTAATAGATATTATTATTTTTAATTTATACAACAAAATAACTTGGTAAAAAATTAAAATATTTTTCTAAGGATATTGTATAATAATTTTATTAAACTTTTGATATTAAAAATATTTTTATTAAATCAAAAAGTTAAGAATAGATAAGCATTGACTCAGTTATATATAACTTTTGATAATTTATTAAAAATAATAAAAAGATAATTTATTTTTATATAATCCTTATGTATATTTAGTATTTAAAATAAATTTTACAGTAATCTTCTTTTTTTTTAAAGTTAATATTCTTATGATTATAATTTTTGCGGGTCAATCTAAATATGCATTTACATTCGTATTAGAAATATTAAAGTCGATTATAAAATTTAGTAAAATCGATTAAAGAATAACTTTAATTTTGTAAAATATTACAGTGGTGCCATTTTTCTGATGTGTCATCACCAGAATCATTTTCAGCAAAGTTATATAAATATACTTATGTTACTAGATTAATTACATGTTATACCACTCACATTAATTTGGTTATACATTAGTTTATATCAATTATATTGATGATGATTCATCCAGATATTCTATTTTCCCATTTCTTACCAAAAATATATCATATTAATTATTTCTTTAAATACTATATTTTATCTCTTATTTTTATAGAAAAATAAATCATCACATCATTCATATAATATATATATATTTTTTTTCTGTGTTATAATTCGAATTTCATAAAAGAAATATAAATTACTTAAATAATTAATAAATAAATGTTAAGAATGAATAAGCATTGACTCAGTTATATACAATTTTAGATAATTTATTAAAAATAATAAAAAGATTATTTATTTTTCTATAATCATTATATATATTTAGTATTTAAAATAAATTTTACAGTAATCTTCTTTTCTTAAAAGTTAATATTCTTATGATTATAATTTTTGTGGGTTAATCTAAATATGTATTTACATTCGTATTAGAAATATTAAAGTCGATTATAAAATTTGAAAATCAAATTTTATTTTTACAATTTTAATACTCTCTATTTTAGAATGTAAGTTATTCTGTATTAAAGCACAAAGATTAAAAAGCAACTTTTCTTTTAAAAAAGTAATCATTTAGTATATAAATTAAATATAATTCAACTAATTATGAAAAATTGAAAAATATAATCGGTCACATTCATTGAAAGTAGTAAAAAAATTAAAAACAACTATATTGTAAAACAAAACAAAATCTTTAAAAAAATTAATATTATGAAACAGAGGAAGTAGTAAATTTTTTTATTAAATACTTAATAATTTAATCAAATTATACTCCCTCTATTTTTTTTTTTAATTTTAAGATCATGTTATTAATCATAGGTTATAGAAAGTATAAAGCGGGACTTCTTATTTCTATCCAAATTGTGAATATATATTTAATTTTTAAACTAATTTACATTAGAATTAAATTACTCTAAAATTTATAACATAAATAAAAAAATATTTTGTCAATATTACAGCATAAGGTTATAAACAACTCATATAAAATCAATTGTATTTTTTATATAATTTTAAAATTATACTATATTAAATAAATAATAGTTATTTCACTCTACACATGGTGCGGGTTATTACCTAGTTTATTATTATTTTTTGATGGCTTCATGATGCTGATAATTAATTAAGTTTTTAATAACTGAATTGATAAAGATTAAAAAAATATTAAGTGATGGTGAAATTATCAACTAGGGATCAATTTCTTTCGAATGTGAAATTATCAACTTACACTTGACTAATAGAAATGGTATGACCTTTAGAATAATCGATGAGTTGACTGCTCGAAAACTACACTCATTTTGGAGGACCAGTCGGATGATAAAACTCCAAATCATCCCACAGTTATCAAAAACAAAAAAGGAAATTGATGGAAAAATAAACTAATCGTGATGCTTCGACTTGGTTCAGTCTAAACCCGTTAGATAATAGTAATATATTTATGTGTAGTAGGTTTTGACATATATCATTGTACAAATCTATGCTTTTTAAAGGTCTAGTGTTGTGACCCACACGAACATGAGTCATACAAAGGTAATTCTTGGGACATACAAATGTTATCAACTATTTTAAAACAAAAAGTATTTGCCATGTTCTTTTCTACGACCAAGAAGAGTCCATGTTTTTTTCAATGACCAAGAAGAATCTTTTTTTTTTTTACCTTTCGGCCAAGAAGAATTCATGTCATGTTAATTTTGATTTAATATTCATCGATAATTTGAAATAATTTCACAGCAAAGAAGTTCAATGAAATAGTTCATGAAAATATATCTTGCATTCCTTTATTAAAAAAATAATATATCTTGCATACGTAACAGCTTACCTAACTGATTGTGTTCAACGTACGATATAGATCCGATTGGTCATAATTATAGATGTAGGTTCAAAGTTATAGAATTTATGTAACAGAATAATCTAATGCTCAAAAGTTAAAGAATTTATGTTCTAGAGGTTTGGGATGATTTGGTATAGCTCGGTTTTTACAGTATCAAACTATTTTTATTAGACCCACTTTCATCTCATTCTATCAACAAGTGATATGTTAGTAGGATCCAACTGTGATGATGAATTTTCTATTAAAGTCTGTCGATGGTTTTTAATTAACTATTTTTAATTAGGTAGCGAACTTTCTAAATCAAAAACGTGCTGTGATACTTCACCTATTCCCACCATGCATTGTATCGATGGGATGGATTAGAGCAAAAATAAAATAAAAAAAGAAGGAGAGAGGCCAAAAAAGAGGAAGGGCGATGGTCAAACAACCAAAAGACTATAAGAAACCTAAGAATGAAAAGAGTAAATGAAGGAGGGCGAAACTTTCAGAAAATGAATCACTGGAGTATTTTGCCCATACCCGGACCCTACCGACCGACCAAACTCAGCCGTAAGACTGAAGGGGACACGGTCAATGTTTTCAAAAGAACCGCCAACCGAGATAAGCTTTCTTTTCTTTTCTTAAGCTATTACATCTTATTTCCATCAAAAGAGCTCCAATTTTATTTTCTCCGTGGTCCATTTACCATATATCCACCCTCACCAAACAGCACACGGATATCATGATCCTCATACAGGATACCCAAACCATGTCACCACCATCAAATTTACCCTCCTGAATACTTGTACACAGTGGGGCGTGATCTAATTTAAGCGAAAATTTTCAGGAGGAAAACACTCCTCTAATTCTCCCGGAGGTCCGAGTCGCTTATTTCTAGTGCATGCAGATCCCAGTAAAACTTCCACTCTAGGACCACATACCACTCATCCGCCCTAGTGGACAAAACTTGGAGACCCAGCTCCATTACTCGGACGATCACACAGCCCTTGGAAACAATCCGCAGTTTTATCCCCAACAATTAGTGCTCGAAAGAGGGGGAGGGGGTAGACCAGTATGTAGTCCGAAAAAAAAAGTAACCTGTGGTGTAATACCTCGTCAAAGCGCTATCCGACCGGAACAAAGTTTTCAAACAAGATGACCCCTCGGTAAAATTTTAAAAATTGTGGGATTAGTTATGGAGGTAGCCAAGACCCTAATGGAGACTATTCAAAAAGAATCAGTCTAAGAAAAATTCTTTCGAGACGTACAAAATTCGTGCAATCCGATAGACGGCCAAGAGCTGCAGAATGAGTCAGTTGGGGGAGAAACCATCTCGGTCAAGAACCAAACAGCTCGGAAGGCTAAACAACTTTAAATAGGCCTAAGAGGAGTCCATACACCAAAGAATATGGCCAAGATCCCGAAAAAAACAAGAAAAAACATGTTGGTCCCGATTCATGGTCCGTTATATCTACTATCGCAAAAACTACAGTACAATTGGGTGATTATTTGACAACCAAGAGAGAGGTGCGTTATTATTACATACTGGAGGACAAAAGAGGTGTTTACAATCATATAAACATTCCACTTGGGTCGTTCGGCAGTAAAAAGCACAGAAGAAAGGTGAAATGTACAGTTTTGAGCCAATGGGAAGCTTCCACCTTATGTTTGTGGATAAGAACGAATTGGCAGTCCTAGAGTCTATGAGAAGGAGTCTAAGAGGGTAAAAATATGACTTGCATATGAGTGAAGAATGATCCAGATTCTACACACCTTAAGTTGTTACCATGGGTAATTTTTTGGCTATAAATACCATCCCATTCACCCTCATTTTTCATTCCCACTCATAAACCCTTTTGAAACCAAAGAGTGAGTGTGTGAG